CCTCAGTGTGGGGAACAGATCCCCGAGCCCTAGCTGGCCCCAGGACCATGCTTGCCCTCTCTCTGCTACCCCCCCAGCTGTCACACACACTTGGGGGGGGGTGAGAAAGGGAGGCCAGGCAGATAAGGAAACGTCGTGATGGTTGGGCCTACAATGCCGAGGCCGTGGGCTCATCAGTGCAACCCGGAGCACACCGAGGAGTGTGCACTGGGACAGGGGGTCCTGGGGATCGACTCCTGGCCCCTCAGACCTTTCCTGGAGGGTCTGTCGGATCTTCTGAGCCTCTGGTCCTTGGGACTGTCCCCTGACCAGCACTCTCTGGGCTCCATGAGCAGCGAGATAAATCTCATTGTCTCCATTTTATCCAGCATAAACTCCTGGGAGGGAAAATAAATCTCTCTCACCTGACAGTGCTTCAGCTCTGGGACACCACTTCCCTGGGACTGAAACTCCACCAGAGGCTGTCCCCGCTCTTGTCACTCTCACAGGGCCTCACAAGGTGTGGTAGGATGCCGCTTTGGCGAGTGAGAAAACAGCTCGGAGAAGTTGGTGACTTGTCTGAAACCACACGGCACAGTGAGTAATGGCGGAGCTGAGTGACAAGAAATCCAGATCCTGATGTGATTTCTTAGATGGATCAGCAGCTTCTTTTCACTCCTCCTCCAAGAAGCCCACTCTGACTGCCCTAGCCTCCCTCTCTGAGGGGCATTCATTCCTTAAAGGCCAGGTGAGCCTTTATCTCCCCCCCACTCTCAACTCACGTGTGTGAAGGTGTGACCACACCTGTACACGTGTGCGTGCCTATCTGCAGGGATCTCTGTGTATGTTTCATGTGCATCTTTGGTGTGCGGGGAGCACATGCGGCTGGCCATGCGAGCGTGTGCCGTGTTTGTGTGTGATGTGCCAGAGTGGAGGCACACCTGAAGACCAGGCAGGGCAGAAGCTTCCCCCTGTGCCCCCAACCTCACCCCTTCACCTAGTCGGGCCCGGCTGTGCTGAGAGACTAGGAGACACCAGGACCCTGTGCCCTGGGGTCTGTGCAGCGATGGAGAGCCCCCGAGCCATCGTCCACCCTCACCTTGATCAGGTTGAGCTTGGACAGGAGGCCCATGTTCGTGGGCACCGGCCGGGCAGGGGAGCAGCACCGCTGGGCCATCTTGTTGATGGCCTCCTGCATGTAGCTGAGCAGCGGGCTCTGCAGGAGGAGGAGGAGCTTAGGCCCTCTCTCAGCTTCCCCCACCCTCAGCTCCCTCAAGCCAAGGAGTGTCTGGAGCCAGGAGTTTCTCCCTGGCCTGGCCTGGGCCCTCTTCCCTGAGGGTATGGATGAGTCCCTCCCACTTGGGGCCAGAGCACCCTCTGCTGCCTAGGGCAGCTGCCGGGATGCCTGTAAGGTCCTCCTGGCTGGAGACCTCTGTGGTCCATGCCTGGGTGGGGCTGGGGGAGCTGAGACGGGATATCAAGACACCCAGGGGTCCTCACTCCAGGCAGTGCTGGGGCCCTGGGCTTCAGCCCTCAGGACAGCCATGGCAGCCAGGACTCAGCTTGGAGAGGAAGACGTGGGAGGGGATCTGTAAACTGGGGCCGGCCCAGCCCCCTCTAAGGCATCTGGTTGGAGGTCAGCAGCCTGCAGACCCCAACTCCCGCATCTTCTGAACTTGGACCCCCAGGGCCAGGTCAGTTCAGGCCTGAGAAGGACCCACATTCATTCAGTGACCTCACCCTGTCCAGGGAGAGTGTGCCCCGCTGGCTCTGTGCCCAGGGCCTTGGTTCCAAGAGTCCTCCCAGCAGCCCCTGAGGCCAGGAGGGCACAGATGGTTGGCCCCGGTTATGGTGAGGAACCAGGACCTAGGAGTAAGGAGACCACACTCTCAAGGCCAGCAGGGGGCAGTGAAGGCTCAGGTCTGGAAATCCCCTGGTCACTGCCTTTGGCCATGGCTTATTCTTTCTGAGCATGGGTTTTCTCACCTTAGGTCAGGTGCAGGTGCAGGTGCAGGTGCAGGGAGCCAGCATTCGGGCGTGCCCACCTGTACTCAGGCCACATGTATGACTGCCCAGCAGCCATCAGAGACATTAGAAGGCGCCCTCCTCACTTACTCAGATGTCATCATTTCCACCCACCCGAGAGGTCGCGCCGCACCGGCACCCTGCAGGCCCTGGGACTGGGCTAGGATCCGGCTCTGGTTCTTGGCAGAGCATCACCATCCCGACCTCGGTCTGCCCATCTGCAGATAACGTCTGCCCGTCCCAGGGGAGCCCTTTGAAAGCAAAGGATCACCAAGAGAGGTAAGTAGTGTGTGTGTGTCTGTGTGTCTGTGCATCCGTGTGCGTGTATCTGTGTATCTGTGTGTCTGTCCACATATGTCTGTATCTGTGCATAGGTGTGCGTGTGTGTCTGTATATGTGTGTCTGGATGTATCTGTGTATGTGTCCATGCGTGTCTGTGTATGTGTGTGTGTCTATCTGTGATGATGGTTAAAGAGGCAGCACCCCCCAGGTCATCAGACTAGACTCACATTAGAGCTGCTGGTGTCCGTGGGTGTGTCCAAGCTGGTGTCCTGGTAGGGAGCACCATGTCTCAACAGCCACCACTGCTCCCGTCTGTGGCGACACTTCTTCTGCAGCTGACACAGCTGGATCTTGAGGCTCTGCAGAGCGAGAGACTGTGTTCTTGGCATGGCACCCTCCAGGATGTCAGCCCTGGGCCCGTTCCCCAGAGCTGGCCACCCTGGGTAGTCTCAGCTACAGGAGGGCGAGAGGAGGGAGTAGGTCTGGGGGTTATGGTCATTCAGGGCACAGAAGCTACAAGACAGCATGCCCAGGCTGACTGGGGTTCAAATCCTGACTCGGTCCTGGAGTGCCAGCTCCTTATCATATCCAAAGCCAATGCTCTGTGCCCTCCAGCCTCAGGGGCTGCTGGGAGGACACGCGGCCAGGTGGAAGGGCCTTCTACAGCCCTTGGGGAAGGCCTGGCGCAGAGTGGGCTGCCGAGAGGGTCCGGAAGGGACTGTCACTCCAGAGCCTTGTCCCGTGCCCCTTTCTCTCCCCTTTCATTGGCCAGTTTGGGGTTTCTCCTGAGGCTCAGCTTGTGTGTGAAAGGTGTTCCGTGTGGTGCAAAGCCGTGTGTTCTGGATTCAGGCCCATGCCCGGGGCACGGGGTGTGTGCATTTGGAAGTCACGGGGTGTGCACAGTGGCCTCACTTCCCTTGACGTAAAAATGGGAAGAATAGCATGGCCGGGGCTCGAGTGCAGGACTTAAGGGGGCACAAAAACGCAGTCACTAGATAATGTTTTAATGCAATTTCTGAAAATTATCAAAAGTTATGCAAAAAATAAAAAAACCCATGAGGAACAAAAAGTAAAGACAGCTTTACTCATCCTGCCCAGGGAGAGTGTGCCCGGCTGGCTCTGTGCCCAGGGCCTTGGTTCCAAAAGTCCTCCCAGCTGCCCCTGTGGCCAGAGACATCACATTGCACACCCACCTCACAGGTCCCCCAGCCCAGCATCACATTGCACACCCACCTCACAGGTCTCCCCTAGCCCAGCCCTGGGAATGAAAGCATCTACATGCAGGTGCTAAGTGGTTTTTTTTTTTTTGTCTTCATCTTCTTTTACTTATTATTACTTTTTAATTTGCTAGAGGGTGTATGTTTACCAAAGAAGAGAGACAGAGAGGAAGTAAGAAAGCACATCCCAGAGGGGATGCCCAGGCCACAGTCCCTTCTCCATTTTCCTCTCTTGATTTTGGGCATGCATGCACACCCACCAGCGTTATTTTTCCCTGCTGCATCTGGGACTCGAACCATGGTCAGCCTGTGAGATCTAGCCGCCTTAACTACCACATCACAGGCTGGCCGTGGAGTGGGCCTTAAATGAGATAGATCTGGTGAAGTGCTTCTCACAGGGCCAAAGGCCTAAATGGTTCCTCATTCTCCAAAGAGAAAAGGTACAAAGTGGTGTCGTCTCTCAGTGCTGCCACTAGGGGGCAGACATTCCTCAGACATCACCCTGTGGCGCTCTGCAATGAACCAGCCGCCTGCTGCCTGCCTTCCCCGGGGGCAGGTGCCCGTGCCCGTGTCCACCTCTCTTGCTAAAAGTTCCGTTTGCAATCACCAAAAAGGAACTGAGGGAGACGATGTCTCGGGGCACTTACTTTGAGACAAACAGTTTGTGTTTGATGTCTCTCAAGAATCCTAGCTGCTAGGATATGTGGCCCCCATTTGACAGATGAAGAGACAGGCTGGGGGAGAGGATGGACTCGCCGCAGCTAGCCAGTGGCTGATCCGGGCTGCGAGACCCAGTCTGCCTGAATCCACACTAGTGACTGCGTTTTTGTGCCCCCTTAAGTCCTGCACTCGAGCCCCGGCCATGCTATTCTTCCCATTTTTACGTCAAGGGAAGTGAGGCCACTGTGCACACCCCGTGACTTCCAAATGCACACACCCCGTGCCCCGGGCATGGGCCTGAATCCAGAACACACGGCTTTGCACCACACGGAACACCTTTCACACACAAGCTGAGCCTCAGGAGAAACCCCAAACTGGCCAATGAAAGGGGAGAGAAAGGGGCACGGGACAAGGCTCTGGAGTGACAGTCCCTTCCGGACCCTCTCGGCAGCCCACTCTGCGCCAGGCCTTCCCCAAGGGTGCAGAGGAAAGGGTCCCCAGCCCCCAGCTGGGGTGGAACAGTCCCAGCTTCAGCCAGCGGTTACCGGCATGAGAGCCCGGTGGCCCTCCTCTAGAGACTCCAGGCGCTGGTGGACGGCCTGGCTCATCTGAGAAAAGGCCTCCAGGTGCTTCCTGACGTCCTGGCTGGCCGTGAGGAGCTTCTCGTAGTGCTCCACCAGGGGCCCCACCAGGGCCTCCTCGGGGTCCTCCGCTTCCCCGCAGCCTGTGGAGAAGGCACTGTGGCAGGGCGGGCGGATGACCAGGGCCTGATGCGAACAGGTGGACAGACTCCTGTTGCCGGGAAATTGGGTGGGAGCCCTCTGTGGAGGGATGCTGGATAATCCAAGCCAGGCTTACCCCAAGACAAGGGGCCAGCAGCACACAGGGCCCCATTGTCCTTGAGAGATGCCTCTGTGTTCCCAGGCTGTCCAGAGGCTAACGTAGCCGAGGCTGCACTGGTAGAAAGCCGATTTTGGAGCACGGGGGAAGTGGGTGGGGAGCTCCTGTCCTGAGGGAGCAGTCTCCAGCCTGCCAGTTACCGCACCCTGGGTGGGTGGGACAGGGTTGAGCTGCTGGATGAAGGCCCAGGGCCAACCTGGAGCTCTGAGGCTGAGCCTGTGCGTGTGGAGCCAGATCCCACGTGGCCTGCAGCAGCTGCAATCCGGCCCAGCAGCTTGCATGCTTTTCCCTCCACTGCAATGACTTTCCCCTTTGTGAACTCACTGGAGCCTCACGAAGGGTCACCTCTTCCAGGTAGCCTTCCCTGATCTCCAGGGCTGAGTTGTGAGAATCCCCACAGAACTCCTCAACAGAACTTTAATTATAGCATTTGGCACAATGGGTGTGAAGTCAGGTAGACCAGGGTCTGAACCCAGGCCCCACCACTTCCTGGCTGGGCAACCTTGGGCAAGTCCTTTACCCTCTCTGAGCCTGGAGAGCACAGGATCCAGAAGCTTGCAAAGAGGGGTAAAAAAAAAATCACTAAAGAGCTTAGCATAGAATATTGAATAAATGGAAATGATTTTTTTTTTCTTATTCTTGATGATGTTGAATTAATGATAAGTAGGTGTTTGACCACCCCCCCCTTCTCTTTCCTAAGTTTCCAGCGTTTCTAACAATGGACTCTGGTTCAAATTATGATTAAACACCCATTTCACATGTCCATGTACTCTGCTAATAATAGCAAAACAAAAAAGCAAAACCAAAGACAAAATAAACACTTTTGTTATTTTGGCTAACACTTCCCGGTGTAAGTGCAAGGCCCCGGGCTACGTGCTTGTCAAGGACAAGCTCCCCGGCCCACGTGAGCATGGCCGTCCCCACACGGACATCAAGGCCTTGAGAACTTGCCAGTGGCCGCACGGTTAGCACTGCCGGGGCCGGGGCCGGAACCGGGGCCGGGGCTGGGGCTGGGACAAGGCAATCTGACTTGGGCCTTTCTCAGCCACTGTGGCGTCAGCCTCTGGGGTCTCCATTCTGCAGACGGGCAGCTCAAGGCTCGGCGAGGTCACGCAGTGTCCCAGTCCCGAGCGGGGCGGTGACTGCAGAGGACACCGACCCTCCCAAGAAGCCACGCACGTACCCTCGGGGATTCTCTCAAGGACTTTCAGCAGGTAGTCTTCAAAGAGTCTGTGCTTCTCGACCTCCCTCTTCAGTTTCCTCTGCCTGCAGACGCCGACACAAGGACAGGTCACAGGTGCCCGGGTCACGCACGACCCCGACGAATGCCACCCTTCATGGCGCTGCTGCTCAGACCTGCTCTGGGCCTCCAGTCACTCGACAGTCGGCCCCTGACGACTGAGAAAACTGAGCCACAAACAGGCCAGGGATGCCCGGAGCTGGGCAGCGGAGCCGGGTGTGGGGAAGATAAAGGCCGGGTCTTTGAGGTGCCGCCGGCTACAGTGCCTCCCTGGGGGCTGAGCAGGTGGTGGCCGAGTCCCACCTTGGGGATAGACCACTGCCTCTTCAGTGTGACCCAGGCCATGTCCTGCAGCTCTCTGTAACAGGGGAGATGAGAGACCCTCCCTCACAGGTTGGCGGAGACCACCGTGGGGTGCCCAGACCACTGTGGGGTGCTCAGTCTGAGGTCAGGGCCCTTCCGCAGCTCCCAGGGGCAGATGGCCCGTGCTGCTGCCTCGTCGTGCCTGACTCCCAGGGAGTCCCTAAGCGAGACTCGTCTCCACCAAGTCACCTGTTCTAGGCTCGGTCAAGGTCAGCAGTCAGGGCAAGGGGCAGAGCAGAGCCTGGCCGGGTCAGCTGGCCGACCACCTACCCACCCACCTCTGACCAGGCTGAGTGTGCGGTGTGACAGGGCAAGCCACTTGGCCTCTCTGGGCCCATTTGTTCATCCATGTTCCTGAGAAACGAGGAAGAAACCATCTTTCTCACTAATACCATATGGCCCTGAGAGCGGTGCTCTATCTCCTGGGACCAAGAGCCCTCCGAGAGTCTGACGGCAGGGCTGGGTCTTCTCTCTAGCAACGGCTCATGGATACTTCCGTCTGCTTGTCATCTAATTCAGGCTTTTGTGGGACCCTGAGGTTGAACGGTCCTCGGTGGGGGTGGGGGCGAGGACCAAGGGTCTCCACTCACTCAGACCTGGGGTGCAAGCTCTAGACTGACTCCAGGGGGCCAGGCTAACAGGTGTACGGGACGGCCACCCTGACCTGAGGTCTGAGGTCAAAGCGCAGCAGCCAAACCTGCAACCTACCTGTCACAGCTGCCCCTGGCGTGCTTCGGGGCATCCCTCCCCTCCTCACCCAAGCCCTCGCCTCGCCTCGCCTCCCAGGGTGTTTCTACCCAGTCCCACCTTCCCCCAGGGGTGGCACAGGCTGGAGCCAGGATGGGGGCAGCGGGACTCGTACTTAGCCTGCAGCTGGCAGAGTTCCTGCAGCAGCACCTGTCGGTCCCCTTCCTTGTCACCAGGGTGGCTCAGCTCCGCTCCCCGGCCTGTGTCCATGGCCACTGGTACGGCCCTCTCCACCCCCAGTCACACTGGGCGAGAGCCGTGAGAGCAGGGCAGGAGGGAGGTGGCCGGGAGGTGGGCCGGACAGCAATCGCCACAGCAGCTCCCTCCTGGGGTCTTCCCGCTGTCCTCGAAGCCAGGGCCGGTGCCCCCACTTCACAGGGAAGGAAACCGAGGCTGCCGAGGGCTGGGAGTGGCTCGGGCTCCAACAGCACGACTGGATTTGGACTTGAGGCTCATGAAATCTAAAGACCAGGACCTTGGGGCTGCGCCCCGGCTCTGGAGGGGCTGAGAGTGTTGTGTTGTCACAGCCGACTGTCCCTGCTGCCCCATAACTGGTGCGGCCCCGCCGCCCCAAGGCTCGATCCCAGCCCCGAGATGCCGGGGGTGCTGCTAGTAGATGCTGACTTCCAACGACATTTGGGAGGGGTCAGGCTCAGAGCCCGGCAGTTTTCCAAAGAACCTGGGGGTCTCTTTATTTTCTCTCTCCTCGTCCAGCCCACTCACCCTGCCAGTCTTTTATTCACTTAACCAGCATCTCAGACTCTGAACTTATACAGAACTTAGAGAGCTCGAGTGAGGCTGAAACACAGCCCATGGACAGCCGGGAGGGTGCTCTCGTCAGCAGGGAGTTTTCACCCGGCCTTGCCAACAGTTCCGGGCCACTCACTCGCCCAGGCCTGATTTCCAGTGCTGTGAGCACTGGCCGTCACGGGCCATCTGTGGGCCAGCCCTAGTGCATGGGAGAAGCAGAGAGAAGGCAAGGGCTACATGGTCAGCCTCTCCAGGCCCAGCTCAGAGGACACTGAGCATGGGGAGCCGAAGGGGCCCAGCCAACTCACCCCGACTCCAGGAGCACAGAGCCGCAGCCGGGCTGTGACATCACAATGCCGGCTTCTGTCCTCATGGTGAGCCCATTGTGGGGGGCGGGGGGGGCAGATTCTTCCTGGTCCTACGACCCTCCAACTGTGCCTCCCCCACTCGGTTCCAAGGAGCAGGGGAGAAGAGGCAGTGGCCTCCCCAAGGACATGTGAAGAAAAGCAGCCCAGAACAGTCTGTGGAATAAAAGATCCACCCACATCTTTAAAAGGGAGGGCTTTTTCTTTATTTATGGTAGAGCATGTGTACTTGAGACTGAGACGGAGAAAGAGAGAGGAGCCCCTACCACAGGGCCTGGCCACTTGTGTCCTCAGATCCTCCGGCTCCTCAGATCTCCGGCCCTCGGGTTCACGTCTGGTGTGCTGCAGGCCAAGCAGACCCAGGATTCAAACCATAGTCACCACGTGGAACCCAGCTTCACTTAAGCAGCTCTTTGCCTCTGTGCCATGGGGCCAGCCCAAGTCTTAAGGGCCTCAGTAAAGTGTCAGTCTGAGACTCCGGTGACACCCCACCCCCATTAGGGTCATCGCCCAGAAAAGGCATGTTTCAGTTAGTGGTAACCACGCTGGGGTGCTGCAAAGGGATTCTAGATTTCGTGATGCGGCCCCACCTTTTCTTCTTCCCAGCGCCGAGTTCCTGGCATAAAGATTAAGATTCAGCCAGTTACTTGCCTGTATTGTTGAAATGGTCCAATGTCAACTCCTGACAAACAGCTTGCGACCCCCACGCGTCTGACCTTTCTCTGTTACATAAACCAGCTTTCTCTGTGGCCATTTTGGTGAGCATGTGTCCGGGCGATTTGTCCCTGAAGTCCTGGCACAAACGAACAGTGGCCATCTTTGTAGGGTGATAGACGCTTGGACTATGTCTGTCCTTCCTTTCAAGTCTGGTCATCTGCAGTCAAGCTGGAGGTCCTTCTGATGCCCCGAGCCCCACTGGCCTGTCTGGGGCTCTCCCTCCTGCCCTCTCCCTCCTGATTTGGCGGCTGCAGCTCAGCATTCAGGACCGCAAGGCTCAGCACAGAGCCTGGCCCTGGCAGGGAGGGGGTGGTCAGAGGTCTCAGGTCTGGAACCAAACCCTGCCCTGCACCTGCTGTCGGAGCTGCCACACCTAGGAGCAAGGGGCCGGGCCTGGTGCCAACCCCTAACCCACTCACACCGGAACTCCCTCTGGCAGGCCAGGCCCCTCCCCACCGCAGGGCCCCCATTCATCAGAGCCAGGTCCTCAGCTCCCCTGGGAGAAACGGGGAGGGGCCAGAGAGGGCCAAGGTGGAGGAGGTAGGAGCCTGGGGCAGAAGGTGGAGGTCAGGGCAGGCAGGGTTGGGGCCCAGGCTGGGGGACGTGTTGGCAGGAGCCGGAGAGTAACAGCCTCAGAAACTGACCAAAGAGGATGAATGGACAGCCGCAGGGAGGCATGGGATCATGAGGAAAGCTGGAGACTGGGCTCAGACGGCAGGCGCCCAGGACCCCTGAAGATCGAGCAGGAATTCAGGGACTGACTCCCCCAACCCCAAAGCAGCCCTCCCCTACCGGTCTTCATCTGCTTCTCTTCTTGGTGCGGAGGAACCAAGAGAGGGCGCCCGATTGGCTGGGCCTAGGCATGTGCCCTCCCCTTGGCTTGACTGACAGTCACAGCAGAAGAGCCCGCCTGGGCGGCTGAGGGTTTCCCTGCACAGACCCTGGGGCTGATCCCAGAAGGAAGAATGCTGAGCTGCAAAACTCGCAGGTGCTCACCGCAGGAAGGCTGGGGTGGGGGGGCAGGCTGAGGAGCGTGGGCCGGAGGTATGACAGGGCCAAACAGACCCCTGGCTTAAAGGGGGGTTGGGTGTGGAGATCCCACAGTGGGCGGCTGATGAGTAGCCGAGTTCTGAGCGCTCAGCGTGCTGGGGTTCATTTCTTCCCTAGGACACACCCAGTCAGAGCTGTTATTTCACAGCTGGGGAAACTGAGCCCAGGGAGATGTAAGTAACTTGTCTAAAGTCTCACTGACGGAAAATAGCTGAGCTGAGCTGTTAGGCCAGGAGCCAGGAGCCAGAACTGTTGGAAGGTTGAGCCGCCGGGAGCTGAAATGATCAACGTGGTCCACAAGCCATGATCTTGCGGAGTGGGCAGGCCGTGGGCAGGCCGCGCTTGGGGACTGAAAGGTGGAGCCGGTCCTCCTCTGGCCTAAGGCTGGTGCTGGAGCAGGCTCTGCAGACCCTCCTTCCTGCCCAGGCCTCAAACCCCCAGGACCTCACTTCCCGGAAGTAGCAGGCCCTAAAGCACCTAGAGCCACAGGCAAGGGGTGTGTGGTAATGTGAACTCATCCAGGCCGGGTGAGATTTGGTCTGAGGCCTGAGGCATGCGGGGAGAGCTGGCAGTCAAGGCCCAAGAGACTGTAGTCCAGGAGATGACTGCTCCCTGTCGGCCCCTGAGGGGGGGCTGTGCTACCTGCAGGGGGTGACCCCCATGGCTTTGCCACTGCCTACTGGAGTCTCTCATTTAATTCTCAGAACCCTCCAGTGCAGTTCTCACAGGTGAGACAAGTGAGCCCTTGAAAAGGGCACACAGTTAATGCCGGTAGCAGGGCTGGTGCATCATTTGTGAGGCCCAGGGCAAAAGGAAAACACTGGGCCCTTTGTTAAAAAGGATTAAGAGAGGATCGGCAAATAGCGTGGCAGTTACATCACTGTCCCACCTAGTCGACCGCGGTTAAAGTCCCGGACCCGGTGGCTTGAAAATCACACTGGACACATATGCTGGTGTGCTCCAAATTCTGGGAGGAGAATGGAGAAAGGATTGCAGCACAGCCGTCCCCCCCTGCCCCCAGGGAGGTGATTTCTCACTTTCCCTCTCATTGTGTCTGTCCCTTTTTCTCCAGCAAAGGCACATACCCTAAGGCAAAAACCTTTCAAAAAAATAAAAATGACTAGAATTTCAGATGCAAGAGCAGAGGACAAGTCAAATGTGAGCTTTCCTGAGCACGGACCCTGCACAACTGAATAGAGGGCGCCCAGGGCGCGAGCCCAGATCTTGGGAACCGGACATACGAACTCTTCTCCCTCTTGCACTTCCTAAGCTCACGAACCTGCTCTTGGTCTTTCCCTTCCTCCTCCTTTCCCCACCCGCAGCGTCACCCAGCCCGCTGCAGGCCTCACCCTTCCCCACTCGGGAAGAACTGTGCGCTTTCGCTGGGGCTAAAATGGACTTTAGAAGACAGAATACCAAGGCCACAGAGAGAGACGTAGGGGGTGGCAGGTCTTAGACCTCCCAGTTCAGCCTGCATCCCCTGGGCCATGGGTAAGATTAATCTAAGGCAAATCTGTCTGCAGAGACAGCTGGGAACCTTGCAAGCCTAGCCGGGCCCCCTTCAAGGGCAAAGCCCCAATTAAATGGTAAATAGAACCTTAACAAGGACTGTGTGGGGCTGGAATTTGCCCTCAGGGCTTAGGTGGCCAGGCCCTGTTGAAGGGAGAGCCAAACCAGGCCTCCTGCCCAGAATTCCAACCCCAGGGGCTACGTAACCCCAAGTGTCCCTGACCTGGACCAAGCCAGCCTTTCCCCAGCCAGAAGTGATGCACAGGATACAATGGGGAAGCTGCAGGCCTACTAGCTGTGTAACTTTGGGAACAGCACATAACCTCTCTGAGCCTCAGTTTTCCAAAACACACAGTGGGAATGATACTGCACCCGTGATCACGTGCGATAACGCACCCAGCATCGTCGCGTTTGTGTAAAATTAACCTGTGTGCGCAGAGACCGCCTAGAGGGCGTGCACGAACCCTTTAGGCCTCGTCCTAGTCGTCATAACCCTTCAAGAGCGTGTTGGTTCCGAGCCTTCAGGAAGGCAGGCAGCACAGAGTAGGTATTCACATGGCATAAGCTTTGCCTCCGGCTTCCCTGCCCTTCCCCCCAGCGTTCACAGTGGCCTGATCCCCAAACACAAGGCGTTTGGATGGAGGGAGGGGCTGGAGCAGATGAGCCTGCTGCTGGAGTTGGCTGGCAAAGGTGGCTTCAGGGAGAGGGGAGGGGAGTGGGGCCGAGGGAATGGGGTGCAGCAGGCAGTGCAAGGAAGACAGGCCTGGCCTATGGCTTTTGCCGAAATTGTGCTATGACCTGTCACTACTTAGTTCCTCCCATGCCCTCTGAGACAGAATCTCGAGATCCAACCCCATCCCCTCCCTCCACCCCTGCTACAGGAGGAGGAAAGATCCAGAGCAGGCCAGGGCCAGGGAGCCCCAGCTGGGCCCAGGACCCAAGGATGAGGCCTAATCCTTGTCTTGTCCCAGGGAAGCTCCAGGTCCCAGAGGACAGAGGTGCTGGCCAGAACCCCAGTCTACCATGGAGCTGGCCTTCCAGTACATAGAGTGACAACTTGTTCCCCCCTCACTGCAGTCCCTGCCTCTCTGCAGTATCAGAAGAACCACCCTCCCAAGAAGGGACGGGAAGGACCTGCTCAGACCACAGAGACCCAGGGTTGGGCAGCTAGGGACATCAACCTATCCTGGAATCGATCTTCCCCAGAATGATTCTTCATGGCAACGGGGCATTGAGAACTGAATGACATTAGGGGACTGGGTTCAGGTCCCCGCCTCTGTGCTCAGACCAGTCACCTCCCTGCTCTGGACCTCAGGAATGGGGGTTGTACCAGCAAGGCTGTTGATTCTGCCTCCCAGATCTCTCAGACTCATCTGCTTCTCTCCACTGACCCACTCTGGGCCAAACCACTTTTTCTCCGACCTGGGCCAATGCAACAGTCCCCCTGTTGGTCTATCTTCTTAAAATCAAATTTCCTCATTTCCTTTGGGGCCAGCAGGTGGCATAATGGTTAAGGTGCTAGATTCCCACTTGTCCAATCACTGTTTGGGTCCTGGACCCGATGACTTGAAACTCATGCTGGGTGTGTGCGCATGTGTGCCCAAAATCCCAAGAAGAGAATGGAGGAGAGAGGATTGTGGTGTGGCCACCCTCCTGAGG